GACCGGTTCAAGGTGTGGGCAGCCCACGATTCGGCCCACACGGTTCATGGGCCGAATCGCGGGCCGATTAGACCTACGGGTGGGCCTGGGCGGCCCGCCCATCTTTACATGACTATGTCGGTGCATAATAGCAAATTTCATGAAATTTCTAATTAAAAAAAAAACCTTTACACTGATATTTAAGATTATCTTTTACTGTTTAAATTTATAAAAATAATAAAAAATATCTTTATTTATTTGTTTTAGCCAACACCATCCAAAAATTTCCAACACAAAAAACCATTCATGTACAAATCATCTTTTCTAAATTTCGAAATTATAAAATTATATTATATAAAGTCACTATAAACCATGAAACAATAACAATTTTCATTTATAGATTACTCCGAGCACGAACCTTGTTATATGAGAAATTATATATATAATATATATAATACTGAATTATAGCAATGCAAATCATACATATTACATTTTCATAATAATAATAATAATAATAATAATAATAATAATAATAAAAGAAAATTAATATTTTAATTTAAATCTTCAATAACATCAACTACTAAACAAAATAGATATTTAAACCCTTAATTTAAGGACTTAATAATAATAATAATAAAAGAAAATTAATATTTTAATTTAAATCTTCAATAACATCAACTACTAAACAAAATAGATATTTAAACCCATAATTTAAGGACTTGTTTTAGTCTCATTTTTTCATTTTTTGCAAAAAATGCATTTTGCAATATTATTACAATAGAGAATATGTGATTAAAAAATAAGCAAACATTTTGAATTTTGCGTGTAATATTATTTTAATGAAGAATGTATAATTGTCATAGGATCATACATCACTGTTTAAGAATGCAATTTGATGGGAAAATGGGGCTCAAACGAGGGTTTAATTTATGATAAAATTAATTTTATTAAAATACAGATAAAAATCATATGATTAAAATTCCCTTTTTTTTTTGAATTAAAACTCACATTCAACAAAATATATATATTAAACACCTATGTAATGAATATATATATTTTTATAATCAGCAAGAGCATGAGCATACGAAATATATCACGAATCAAGCTCATGAAACCATCCTAAAGGAGGACAGAAAACACGGATAACGACTATTTCAACATAATGTCTGAATTCTGGCATTTATTTACTTGTACCTATGAGGGATAGAACCAACAGCAGCCAGCCAACCATTGATTTATAGCTTTGGTATATCCAAATAAGAAGCCATTGCTCTCTTCATGCACTACGAAGGTGATGAAAACTTCAGGCACCATGACTCACGCACAATTCTTTTTCTGGACTCAAGGGTTCGAAAATAGATTCTACTTCATTGGTATTCACTTCTTCCAAGCTTGACGGATTCCATTTCGGGTTCTGTGAATGAGCAAATGATAGAAATAAAAAAATTGAAAGAAACTCGATTTTTTCCCAAAGTTTAATTTTATTAATTTCATTCATACTGATAACGAAGACAAATTTATTAGATGCAATCAACATAAAACGTATTTTTGATTCATTTAGCTAATTTTGAAGGGCAATGAGAGTTTACACCTCGCTCCAAAAACATTTAATAATAGAAAAACAATCTAAAGAAGTTGTTATATGTTGTTTAATTAGGTAAAGCGGAAATAGTCCACCAAATTCCATCCTAAAATAAAGCATTTACACAAAAGGAAACTAATGCAAAATTTCTTCATCGGATGGGGAAAAAAATCAAGTGTAAGAAGTAACCTGATCTTTGTCCACCAAGACAGCCCTAACACCCTCAGCAAAATCATTTCGAAGAGACGACCTTATAGCAATGCGATATTCAGCTTTCATCACACCAGTCAGCTAGAGAGAGATTTGCAAAGAGAGATTAATGTGAGAAGTTACAAGAATTGTAATGATCTCCAGGCCAAAGAACGAAGAGCAAGACAAATTTATCACCTTAGACAAATCATGGTTACTTTTTCCTCTAGCAGAAGCAACTTTTGTGAAATGCTTTTGTGTGAGGCAAAGCGAAAAATAGGCTCCTTTTCTGAGCCCTTGCAAGGCATCCTTTGCCCACTCTGCCACTGCCAAGAAAAAAATGGAAAATAGCAATAAGGATTATAATCAACAGAGGGAATTCAACCATTCGTCACCAATCTATTTCCCCAATAACAAGTTGGTCCCCAACCTTCCAATATAGTTGCACAACCAATTCACGAAACAGAAACTGTCCAAATCTTTTCGTTATGTTGTCACATGGCCATCATGGAAACATCTCACTACAAGTTTCTGGGTGGCAGTCCAAATTGGGAATCAAAACATAGTTTTACAAAGTTGGAGATGTCAGGGCGTGTGACTATTTAATGGTGTTCGGAACGGTTTCCGTCATTGGCGACTACTAGTGCAACTAGTGGGGATCAACCTGCTACTAGGGCAATAGGATGTTAGCCGTTGGTGCATTTTTCCCAAATTAATAAATGTTCAATATGTTTTCTTAACATCAAGGAACAGAAATGTCCAACACTTGCACAACACAACATGTGCAGCTGAAACTATCTTACCCAAGGTATCGGCACTTTCTTGATGTTTTTCCAGCTCGTCCAATATCTCCTTAACAGACTTATTACCGCCAAAAGTTGAAATTATCCGAGGTAAAAGCAACTTCAAACGAGGTTCAGACTCTGGGTTTGTGCTATATTGTTCCAGCAGTGCTTTGATTTCCTGATCGGGGTCCTCGGAACTACATGAAAAACATAATTTTCCGGAATGATAGACTGGTCACTGGTGGAAGCTATTTTTCTAATAAACAAAGTTTCTATCACATCAATTTGTATGAAAACATTTGCGGGTTTAGTAGAGTATGGACTATGGAGAGAGACAAACAAAAACCACACACCACTGGTTAAAATATGTTAACGAATAAAAAGGAATACTTTCTGACCACGCCAGTCAATCTAGACAACATTCCTTTCAGTGAAGAAAGGGAAGTGCATTCAAAATACTGAAGTGTGAAAGCAGACAGATATAATCCAATGAACTTCCTTTCACAACGTCCAGAACTAACGAATACAGATTCATGTCCAGCTGTTGGCTAACAGGAAGAAGAGAGAAGAAGAAATAAATCGGAAAGGGAAAATTCAGTCATTCTGTATTCAATTCAATTTCATGTTCATCATGAAATCCTACTCCTGCTTTCAAAAATCCAAACATAAAATGAAATAATCCCAATCGAAACTTCCTAACTTAATAAACATAGAAAGATAATAAATTACAAATCAAATCAAACTACTGTCTATTTCCACTCATAAAATAGGTTTTATTTTAAAACGTTGTCCTAATTTCCATCACCGTCAAAATGATATTCACATTGCAAAACCAGGCACCAAAAAAATATGATTCTATGAAGTAAGAATTGAAACACATACAAGGTGGTTGCTAATAAATCATTCTTCAATGCATCCAAGTTCCCAGAAGGCACATAATGTGTTCCAAGGCCTACATATAGAGCATCAGCTGGAGTTGATATCCTATTTCCAGTCAGTCCAAGGTAAGCCCCTGCAAAAGTTCAAGTAGATGGAAAGATAAATAGATCAAAGAATAAGACCTTACTGTGGGAGCTTTATCCATACCTATTAGCAATTATCCATACACTCATTTCCAAATTAGAAAACAATCAATACAAAGTACAAACATAGGGAGGGTGCCAAATTCAAACACGCTACAAAAACTGTAGAGGCAACAGCACAAATCTATTAGAGGCATTAATAATTAACTTTTGTAGGGCTCGATAAAGAGATCCTAAAGACTAGGGAGTACAATAGTCACTAATCTCAATTAAAATGGCCAAATGCCTTATCAAAATCAATCTTAAACACTAAACCCACCGTTTCATTGCCCTATACTCAACTGGCTCATTAATCTCTAATGCCAAATCTAAATTAGTCTCCCTTTCACAAAATCCCCCGAATAATCAAGATCACGTCTTCCAAATCCCCTTCAATCTAATTGCTAAAACAGTTTTCCATGATCTAGTAAATACTAGAAAATCACTTATTTTTCTAGAATGACTTTTTTTGGGATAAGAGAAAAAGTTGCATTAATTTATCCTGGAAGAACTCTATCGTATTTCCTCAGAAGGATGTTAACAATATAACAATATCTAAGGGAAGGAAAAGTGCCCTGTGAAACAACAAAAAGCTCACCTACAGCTCCTTCTCCTGGACTTTGTGCAGCTATATACGCAAAACCAACATCCGGAAACAGGCCAATTCCATTTTCTGGCATGGCAAGGACAGTTCTCTGAAATAATATTAGACAATAACTTAGATAGTAGTACATGGCGCATGTTTTCATCTAAGCTGTGGAACAAAAACTCCACTAAAGAATGAGATTACCTCAGTAATGATCCTGTACCGACCATGACCAGATAGGCCAATCCCAAAGCCCATTGTAATACCATCCATCAAGCTGATATAAGGCTTTTTGTACTCAAAAATTTTGCATATTAGAGAATATTCAGCGGTGAACACCTAGAGAGGAATTTGGTATTATAAGAATAATTTAAAGCCAAACGACCTCAAAAAGAAAACTTGTAACAAATAAAAAACCTATCAGAACACCAACAAAATGCTGATTAATCTATCACATAAAAAGGGAAAATAATTTATAACAAGATTTAAAATCTAAATTTATGAAACAAGGATATACTGTGTGCTGCAAAAATACCTTCATGAACAGAATAAATATTTATGTGTGTATCAAAATCACATACACTGCAAGAAACAAGCAAAAAGGCTGCTTGCATACTTTTGGCACTTAATGGTCATATAAGGATTTCCCTTCTCTCTCTTTACAAAAATGTACTTGCAATTCCATGTCATAGCACGATGCCAACAGGGTTAGACACGATATTCCAACGAGCTTGCTAACTTTTGCAATCCATCCAGGCTTATCATAAAGGGAATTGACGGGCAATTTACTAGATTTTTTAAGTTATTCTATAATGTTCAGAACATAATATCGAGTGAAAGAGCAGGGATTATCCTCATTGCAGCATATCTAAACTATGTGTAGCATGTTTTTTAAGTGAAGGAAATACATGATGCGCAGGATAATTATTCATGAATGATTCATGAAAACCAAGGAAAAGTGTTTAGCCTCGTAAGAAAATTCATCTCCTTTGCTTTGCAACGTGGAGATAAGAGATAAATATATAATGCTTATTTTGAGAAAAAATGATGAAATTCAGGGCATTCTTCATAAATGACTCAAAACTTAAGAACATACTTTAGATTCATCAGAAAACTTAATCCGTTTTGGTTTGTCAATGTGCAGAACAGAGATAACTATTTAACGCTTAAATTTATTTTTTCAATATAATCATTTGAAAGATTTATTCTATAATAAATAACCAAAAACTTCAAGCTGGTTCATCAAAATTTCAATTGCAAAACTTGTTCATGCATGTATATCCACAAGCATCTGCACAGAAACAGTTAAGTTGGTTCATGCAACAAATGTTTACTATGTGAAAACATGGTATTCCCGCTAATGTCATCGTATCGAGTAAATTGACCGATAAAACAGGTTTTACAGTATGTCATAGTCTTCTAAGTATATATTCACGTTCAGTGGTAAAATGAATTTCCCCAAATTTGGAAATTTAGGTGGTTTTGCCTCATGTATTATTCAGTTAATGGATTCTACAAGACCTCAATCATATCTGACTGTTTGTTTTTTTTCTCTTAATCATCTTGACATCACCACCTGCATATAAAGTTCATTGCCCAATTTCATTAAGCTAATTTTTTAACTGGTTCAGAAATTGTATACCTATACAGCAAACAAAAAGAACGGATATGTAGAACGCTGAATTTCTACTACTGTCCATTCACATTGACAATCATCTAACAAGCTCAGATTACATGCCATAAGTACTTATAGCACATATTCATGCCACTAGAAAAACCTTTTGCACAAGAGGAGTGGTTTTGTCCTTTTGAATTTCAGCTACAACCCCCTTAATATCCATTCCTGCATTGACCATGAATGATTAACCTCAATAGCTCCCCAAACACTTGAGAAAAAAGTCTAATATCAGAAAGATAAGTAAGAATAATATTCCCTCTTAAAAAAAAACACTAAGTAGCATCGAAGTTACTAGTAGATAAACTAAAAGATAATTGCAAAAAAACAGATACATTTGACACATAAACAAGGCTTCAATAACCTGCACAAAAGGCACGAGAAGAGCTACTTTCAACCAAGACGCACTTGACCTTCGGATCATGTTCCCATTCATCAAGAAAGCTCTTATATTTTATGTCCATATCTGCATCGGTGATTCAAAAACAAAAAGAAAATTATCAATTACCCATTTCACTTCTTCCTTCCCTCAACCAACTTCGAGAAGGAATTAAAAAAAAAAAATTCAACTTCTAGTTCTACACACTAACTTTAACAGATGACCATCAATTGTATAGGTTAAACTTAAAACCTAGGTTCATGGCATTGAGGGCTTTGGAACGATCGAGTGTGATGAGAGCGACGCCGTTTGGGAGCACATTTCCTCTGACGAATTCATCAGCGCCACTAGAGGCCATTATCGTGAAGCTTTTTACTGGTGGCTTTGTAGAGTGAAATGAATTGCTGAAGAGGAAATGTTATGATTGGGTTAATCGCTGAACCCCAGTTAAACTTCTCATAACTTTCATAATTTGTGGGTCAGCCGGTGAAATGGTGATATTGCACTATTGGTCCCTAATCTATTGATTAATAGAAAATTAGTCTTTAACTTTTAAAAATAAACAAGTTGAGTCTTCAATCTTTAGTATTTATTGCACAATTAACCCTCAATGATCATCCAAATTTGTGTCATCATCCTTGTAGCACATATTCATGTCCAACTCATATAATCAAGTCTTGTTTTTCAACTGTGACTGGTGTTCAAAAATTTAAAATTGAATACTTTCAATGAGAGTTTTTTAATAGATATAGACATGGATTGCTTGCAGTTTCTCTTTTCATATTGATTTTTATTTGAATTGATAAACATTAAGTAGGTGGAGTTCTAAAATATTTAGTTCATTATTTTGTTTTAGAATTAAATTAAAACTCATTATAAAAATAAAGAACTAATAAGTTGATTATGGATAATTTATAAATGGAGTAAAAATGGTAAATTTTTCAATAAATGTCGCGGAACCACGTCCTCCAAGAATAGGCAAGACTCGATCTTTCTCAACCCCTCTCGCTTAGCCATAGCGGTACTTGACATAGGCAAAGTGCTAATAAATGTGGATAGTGCTATCAACGTTTTAAATGGGTAGTCTTTCGACGTCAAGGCATTTCAAGGGAAGAGTTGAAACCTTTCGACACCCTTCCAAGGTTTTGGAAGAGCACTAGTGATGCCCGAGATGGTAAAATTGCTTGTTACCCTAGGGCGTTGGGACGAGTTTGAAAATGTTTTACTGTCTTAAATATTGTTGATGTGAGATGTTTTTTTTTTTTTGGATATGTCATACCTTAAGGAGTTGTGTTGTTTAACCAAAAAAACTGCTTCAAGGTCCTGAAAATTGTAAAAAGGATTTCAAGATTACAAATTGAATAGTTTTCTAGGTTCCATTTGACCAAAATTTAATTTTCCCACCGTGTATTGACTAAGGCAGACTTCATTGCTCTCTAATGAACTAAACAACTTAAATTGTTGTTTAACATAAAGAAAGTTGAAAAATTAGTAATGGTTCGAGTTATTACAATTCAGGGCGTTACAACATCTACAAGATAATACGTCAAATGTCTTAAGAGTTGGGTTCATTTTATCTCTCTTTTACATCTCGTCCATTGTTTTTGGAGACATTACTTAACTGACAGTGTTTATTTCCCTATTCTTTTTAAAAAATAAAATGATTTATATTGTGACAATGGCACGACGAACTACGAATTGGCTATTATACCACTTGAAGGGAATTAAGCTGCCATCACAAAATGTTAGTCCATTAGGTGGAGTTGCCATTCAGGAAAAATTTTAAGACGGACTAATACGCCAAAAAAAAAAAAAAAATTATTTTTACTTTAATTTTTCTTTTTAAAAGGTCCCCCTAGATTGGCCAATGAATCCCTTATAAACCTATCATTTACTTATTAAATCGATGTAGAATTTATTTGCACTTTCTAGACCACCCCTCTAAAAAGAAGTACTATATCATATTGGTTCCCTTTCAAGTAGTAATATTTTTGTCCACATTGTTGGAGAATTGATAAGTGAAATGGTTGTTAAGTTTAATTTGTAGGAGCGTAATTAAAATATTTGTAAACTATAAGAGTGTGTTTGATAGGGAGCCAATTCCATGGAAACACCTTTCCTTTGTTTGATAGGTTTTTTTTCTGGACAAATGATTTTCCCACTTTTCCTCATATACTCACATTTTCTTGTTTTTCCTTGAAATCANTTTATGATTTTTTTTTTTTTTGGTGGATTGGTTTTCCCATTTTTTATGTGGTTTTTTTTTTTCCATCTTTTTTTTTTTTTTTTTTGCAATTAGAAAAAATTCTAGATACAATGGTAAAAAAAAATTATCACTTTTATTGACAATTTTCATACAAAATAAAATAAAACAAATGATATTTGGTATAGTAAAAAAAAATTTGTAATTTTTTTGATAATTGGAACAAATTCTAGACCCAATGGTAGAAAAAAATATCATTTTAATGGAAAATTTTCATGAAAAACAAAGGACACCAAACTTTCAACATTTTTCAGATGAAAAATTATACCAATCAAACATAATTAATTACAATTCCCAGTACAATAATTTATAAGCAATTCAATTCCATGGAATTCATTTTCTTTCCACCAATTTTCCAACTTTGCAATCAAACGGACCCTAATAGAAAAGAATGAAAAAAGAATAAAAAGAAAGTGAAGAAAGAAATTCGAAGCAAGTGATTAACATTCTCTATAAGACAAAATTGCTCTGTAACGGTGCTAACGGATTACGATACTTGTTTATTAAGATATAACAGATACAACTTGTAGTAAAAGCACTTCAAACCACAACCAACACCGAACTCGAATGAAATTTTTTTCTCTTTACAAGAAAATAATTTTTGGATAGTTTTTGCAAGAGATTTTGATGCAATGCTCAATGCAAATGATATGTGAAGCATGGGCGTCAAAAGGGTCCTATTTATAGAAGATAGGAGGTTGTGAGTAAAGAATCACGTCCCAAAACTCAGCAACTTTTACAAATGGAAGTATCCCTTGCTGTCGTTAGCTTCTAGCTCGAGCACCTGTGACACCTGTTGAACAGAAACTTTTTCGCTCGCATGTCACTCGAGCGACAGTCTAACCACTTGAGCGCTAGACAAGCGGTGGAGTTACGATTAGTTTTTCCCTATTTTCTTTTCAATTTTGGATCGCAATTTCTCATTAATTTGGAATTGGTTTTGAAATTCCAAATAGACTACAACGATCTACTTGACGAGTAGAACGAGACAGTCTTTTTAATTTTATAATTTGATTATCGGATCAATTCTGAATATTTGGTCGAAATTGACACAAAGTCACTTTTCAAATTTTATACTTAAATCAAAATTTTCAATCTTTAAACCAAACTCCAACACGTGTTTCGTCCTCAAACCTGGGAGATTACATCTTTATCATGGCTCGACTCTTCCACTGCGTAAGGGTCACCCGTAACCACCTTACATGGTCAAAATTGCCTTAAGAGTAACATAGATTTTGTGACTATCGCGACCCCACTTAGGGTTAACCACCTTCGTTCGGCTACAAACGAGATCTATCTGGCGCATTTGCATGGTTAAGTTTGGGGCATGGCCATCGTACGTAACAAAGAACACAAATACAATTTCATTGGTTCATGTGCAACACCAAGACAGATTGATAAATTCGAGGAAACTTCACAAATTTTTATTAATTAATAAAAAAATAATCAAGAAAGCAACTAACTCTTAAAAAAGTTTAAACAATGACAAATCCTATAAAAACACGATATAGGCCAAAACATACTTTGACAAAGTAAATACTAGCAAGACAAATAAGTTAAAAAAAAAAA